GTAAAAACAATTATTAAATATAATCCTTTTCGATATGGACAAGACATTTCAATTCCTAAAGAACCAATATAAATATCAGTAACTTTCCACACTTTCACACCGCAAAATTTGACCAAGTTCGTCGATTGACTTCCCTGCTCAACTACTTCGCTTCGCTATGGAGACGGCGCGGCTAGGTAATCCTATTGCCACCAATCAATTTAACATCAACATGTTGCCGTTGCCCAAAGCCCACCCCCAATCCATTCGCACACCCAACCTAGAAAAAACCTGTCAACCATCTCACGGCTGTAATCCAATTGCCAGCTGCCAAACAAGTTCTATATAAATCGTCAGAGATGAAAAAAATTCGAAAACTTGGTTTTAAGGAAAAAGTGCATTCTAGTGAACACATAAATTCCAAAATCGTATATATAGGAATTAATATAGATTTCTAGATCGGGGTATTTGGCCAGGGAAAAGTTTTAAGCTATTTTAAATGAAGGTCTGGGCAAAGCTGAAGACTTACAAGCTAATTTTATTTTTACCATATATTCGCCATACTAACAAAATCGTTTTCCATTCTGATCAAGTTTTCCATTAATCATTGGTAAGGCCAAGTCTTGTATTTAAAAATACAAACATACACTTTTAGAAAATCATAATTGAAAATATGTTTTTAATGAGTGAGAGGTTTTAAACCTATACACAGCCAATTTGGTATTTTCGTACTTCGACCTCACTTTCCAAATTTAATGGCATGTTTTACAACCATGTTACTTTTTTTTTGCAAAGTGAAAAGCTTCTGAATTTCTTCTCAAGCTCGTTCCATTGCCCAAAATCTCGATATTGCCCCTGCAAAGCACCTGGAGCAATGTCACCAATGCGATTTACGACCATTATTCAATCAGTATGACTGTTTGTCATTTTGTGCGAGCACTTTTTCGAGGACTCCTCTGCCGTCCTTCCATTTCCCTTCCCCAGTTGAGGAATCGGCGGAATGGGTTCGGGGACCACGGGATGTCTCCAGTGAGGGAGTTGAGGTTGTGATGTGGAAGTCAACTTGACGCCGTCTCGTCTGTTGCATTGTTGGAAAAGCATTTTCTCGCAGTTTCTGGCTGTGTTGTTCCTGTCTCGTTCTGTCCCTGCTTCTCTGTCTCTGTCCCTGCCTTATTGCCGTCTCTTTTTCCCCTCCGCTTGCCGTCTCTTTTCCCCCCAGTCAGTCGCATCGTAGTCAGTCAACGTTGACGCGCGCTTTTAATGCATTCTTATGTCATTTTTTGCACTGCACTGCACTCGAATGTCATTTCTTTTGTACGGCTGGAGCACCGAAAACCCCAACCCCCAACTCCCAACCCACCCATTGAAAAAGCCCTAACCAACCTTTAACCACTCTTCGTTGCCCGTGTTGTTATTGTGCTTTTCGCTTTTCATTCATTTTATACTTTTAGAGTTGCGGAGGAGGAGGGAAGAGGAGGATGGCATCGCCAAACTTGAAATTGTGGGCGCATTTCATTTATGTTGACAAAAGGGTTTTCCCCGTCCGCTGGACCTTTTTTTTTGCTACCCAATTTGGCGACTCCTCAGCGATCGCCCACTCCCCATAGAGTATCCTTGTTTGTGGAGTCGCCTTTTTTATTCCCGGTTTTTCGTACTACTGTGCAGGGTATACCAGATTTGTAAAACAATTCATGTAACATCAAGAACTAAATTGCAATCTTGGGATTAAGAAGTTAAAAAGTGAATAACTGTGATATTTTTAAGTTATTGAGGATTGAATTTAATAAAATTCTCTTTTTTTTTTTTTTTTAGAATAAAATCTCATAAAACTTTCTTATTCTAAGACGAATATAGACGAATTGGACTGAAGAATTCGCGTTTAGATATAATGATCAAAAAGGGTATACCATCTTCAATCTTTGAAACTCTTCCTATTGGTTTATTTATTTTTTTTTGTTTTGCGTTGCTTTCTGGCTTCATTTGGAGGAGTTGATGCCAGGCGCTTTTGTTGCCTGCCATTGTCGTTGCCCAGGGTAACATATGACAAGCTGAATAGGAGGGGGTGGAGGGGGTTAGGCAGCGGGCAGTCGGGTGTTAAGGGACTGTGTTATCTGTATGTCTGGGAGGAAATGAAATGGCAACAATCGGTAGCTTAACGTTGGGGGCGTTAATTGATTTTGATTGAGATGTCGAGCGAGAATGGACGCACCATAAAGGCAAATGGATTCCAATAAAAGAGAAAGCATGCGATTCATATATTTCATTGCTTATTTTACGTAAATTAATAGAACCACAATTTCATTGGGTTAAGTTGAAAGTGCAAGGATTCGAGACCTAGAAATTTTATAAAATTCTAAATACACCAAAAATGTAAAGATTTATAACAAATATCGCTACAAACAAAAAAAGTTGTTTTCCATATCAAGAGTGAAGTTATATTCCAAATTGAAGGTGGGATAAAATCTTCTTTCCTTGTCTTTATTTCATTCCAGAGACCGTAGCAAAATCTGCCGCTAAATCCTTGACAAATTTTGAGTTTCCTCAACCAAACCAGAAGCCAACGTGGTCTGAATAAATTGGGGTCAATAAAAGACAACAACACGGGTAAAGCTTCTCACAAATTAATACGAAAACTTTCTTGATTATTTGCGAATCACCTGGAGAAGAAGCCGAGTCACAGGGAGGCAACAAATGTTATCCATGTTCACCGACAGCGTCACATGAGACAAAGTCTACCCAGCCTCCCGTGGGAAAACTTTGATTCAAAGCGAAGACTCATGGGGGAGTTTCATGTTGGATGGTGTTGTCAAGTAGTTAACTAATCCGCCGCTCAGAAAACACGGCTGGTTAGTCAAACAGAGAGATAAAGAAAAATCTTAACTCGGTTTGATTTTGCTCGGTGGCGAAAATTTGTTGTGCGCGTGCCATTTAAAATTGTGCAACCGTGCGTATGCGTAATGTTTTTCATATGAACTCCGGCCTTTTTGGGCTTTTCGGGGTGACAAGGCAGGCCAGCAAAATTGAAATTCAACAGACACACCGACCAGAGACTGAGTTGAGATGAGATGAGTTGACTTGACTTGACTCGAGTCGAGTAGACTTGACTTTTTGGCTGAGTGCACCAAATGATGATGTTTTAATTTTTTCGGTTAACCGAAAAAGTTAAATAAAATAAAAAAACGTTCAAGTGAAATTTGCTTTACTCTACATTTCCTTCGTTCTGTCGGCGAGGAAAAAACCTAATTTGTATGCCAGGCAGCAGAAGTCGTTAAGTCGTTTCAACCAGGCGAAGAACCAACCGTCTTGGCTTGTCTTTGAAGTCGCAAAAAATACAAAAAAAAAATAGCATGAGAATAAGAAAACGCAGCCAAATTTCGTGTTAGAGGTTCTTCCTCTCTTTGTGCTTCTGCTTGCTTGCCAAGTGCAAATTGAATTAGTTTTGCTTGGGAAGGAGAGCTAATTAAAATGCCGCACATCATTTACTAGAAGATGCATTTTAAATAACACTTGAAAAATTATGTGACAATTTGCCATAAGAAAATATATAGAAGGAGAACTTGGAAAAATTGCGGCGAAATTTTAATTAAAATGTTCAGTAGTTAAAACAAGGAAGATGGCAAGAGCGCTGTTTTCCTTAATGAAACTACCGAAACTCCAGAAGTTCGTAAGTTGTTGATTTTCTTAATGGGATTATTTAAGCAGGAAGTGACAAGTAACATTTGCAAAGAACAATTGTGAGGCATTTCGAAAAGAAACTGAAAAGTTATTCATGCGAATAACGCAAACTTAGTTAAGCATTAAGCTATGAATAAATATTCAAGACAAATATTTTTCAACTCGGCTACATTTTAAACTCAATCAAATTTTTGAGATTATTCAAGCATCTCGAGCATATGGTTTGCCTTCGAGTCAATATGCAAATCACTCAATAATACGTTGAAATTGAACATGTGTAATTTGATAACGAAATGCCCGAGATTGTGCAACCAATTCAGTATCAACTCCGGTTTCTTTGCCTCTGCCAGCAACAATTAGTTATGCAAAGTAGCAAAAAAAAAATAAGGACATTTTAAATTTGCAAATGCTCAAAGTACCTGCCAGGCAGTAAGCCCATAAAATTGCCAAGCAGTCCAAATTTTATTACTGCTGCTTCCTTCGTCCTATTCCCAAAATCAAAATCAAAGCTCATTTTGTTCGGATTCTCAGCCCCTGCCACTCAAAGGAATTTTACTTCGTCCCCTGAAAACCCAGGCCCCTCCATCTGAATCAGAATCCCAATTCGAAGTTCTCAATTTGCTACCCGTCCTCAATCACTCAGCTCGGCAATACAAAATGCTTTGCGTGTCCTTTGCAATTTCCTCATACATCAATTTTCATATTCATACGTATTGACTTTTGTTTTTTTCCCCTCTTTTTTTTTTTGCAATAATATTCGCTCCAATATGGTACGACAAACGGGTTCCTTTTGTTCGCATTTTACGCACGATTTCATTTATGTGCTCGGCTTATGGTTCACATTGTTTCAGCAACTTTGGCATCTTTCGGGCTTCATCCAACGGAAGGGGAGAGCTTAGCTTTCATGAAATAAATGAAGTTTCGGCATCTGTAAGATTTTAGACTTTCGCAGGGACATTTTCGCATATATGAGATACATATAAACAAACATTTTCTATATGTAAATAATATTGACTAATCTTGGCACTACTATTTTACTTATTACTTAATATTTAATGTAAATAGGTAATAATCGTTGTATACTGCTGTACCATAAAAGTAAGTTTTTTAAAACTAATAGAAATGTATTATTTAATATAAATGATATTACTAGTGTAACGAACTGTTTTCTACTGTTTGATCGCTACGTAAACGCCGCGACTAGCTCAGAGATATTGTGTGTTCGTCCCACCAAATTTGTATTGCGTGACTGCCCGTGACCCAAAAAAATGCAGAGATATCCGATTGGGACAAATCGGAAAACTTTATTTAGTTTTTCTTTTCGCTGGAATTGGTTTCTTCGTCAGCTGGCTGTAGCGGCTTGTCGGGTCGGCGACGTGCCTTCCTCGGCTCAAGATTCCCTTCGTACGATTCTCTGCGGCGCTCCTCGACGGCGTCGCTGCTCTCGTATCTCTTCGTGCTACTGGTGGACTCCTGCGGCGTCGTTCTCCAACGGCGGCTCTCCAGTTCCACCCGGCTTGTAGGACTCAAAAGTCTGCACAACCTTCCTTTCGGGTCCGACCAGAATGATCCTGGGACCACCTGTGTCGTCGTATTCCCTGAGGTCGGTCTGGCTCTAGCCTGAGAAACAAATGGCCCGACAGGTCAAATCCTAGGATTCAGCCTTATCGTCAGTCCACCGTAACCCCGACGCCTGGCACAAACTCTTGATCCGCGCTTACCCTGCCGGTAGCTCGTCCTTCTCTAGCTCGTCCTTCTCTCGACTCTGCTCCTGTCCAGCACTCGTCTCCACTTCAATCTCTGCGTCCTGCAGATCTCACCGTTGCAGTCTCAGCCTTGGCCTAGCGTCTTGACTCTGGTATCTTGATCTGGGTGTTGAGCACTCGGTTACTCGGTACTCTCACGGTCACGCACTCGATTGAATCCTCGCACTTGAATCTTGATATTGGGTTGTCTCACTTGTACTTTCGCTCGCGTATCTTGGTTGTCTGTCCCGAGCTGCGCCTGCGCCGTCCCTTTTATAGGCCGCGGCGGGGTCCCGTTATTTCCCTTTTTGCACACGGCTCGCTAGGGTCCAATGTCCACGTGTGTCCCGTTAGTTCCCGTTGCACACGGCACGCATCGGGTCCAAGGTCCAAGATGTCCCGTTAATTCACGGTGCATCCTCTTTGTGCTGGTCCGAAGTCCACGGATTCACCGTTCGACCTCATTGCCCTCTGGCGGCGTGGGTCCAAGGTCCAACGCGGTACCGTTATTTTACGGTCTCTCCGCTTTAGCCGGGTCCAAGGTCCAGAATTTACCGGTGGACCTGGATGCCCTCGGATTCTGCCGCATTCTCGCTGCCTTCGCTGTTGCTAGGGGCTCTCCTGCCTCGAGATTTGTGGGGAGTTTTACGACTCCTCACACTAGTTTAATGCAAACAACGATTTTGAAACTAAATCATGTCAAATAATAATTTAATGACGATTCGAACTCTAAATTGGCTTAAGCGAGCTTAAACCCTGATGAATATTAATTTATCTACCATAAAATATGTACTTTTTAAATATATGGTAGTGGAAATAATTTAATTTGCATTTATTTGGCCTGCCATTGCTTTTTCCCATTTTTGGCATTTTCGATTAATTTATTTGGCGGGGGAAGCATTTTAAAATTATGGAAAACATTATTCCGTCATTGACAGCTGCGGTATGGCATATCAAAATTGCATTTATCGCTCGCTGGCCGGCTATAAACATATATTTATGTATATTGGCCAAACAACAAACAATCGGTCGAATTTGATTACACGACGCGGACTGGGAGAGCGTCAACGGAAGTGAAGTGGCTATCAATGGTTGATTCAGTTCGGGATCTCTAATTTAGATGTGCGGTAAATACCCAGTGCATTCGGCATTTGTTTATTGCACTTAAATGGATAATGAATATTAAACCCAATGGCTGTGTGCCGGGGGGAGATGTATTTTCAGTATAATCATGGCGTAAATAAAGGGAAGCTTATTAGAGATAATAGTGGTTGAGAGTAGCACAGCTTATGTTTAAATTAGACCTAGACCTTGTGGTGTGAAATATGAAAATGTTTTTAAATATATATTTATATTTATATATTTATAAAAAATCATTATTATACGTAATTTCGAAATATTGTTACTTCCCTAAGCAGCACTACTTGTAAAACTGTTTGTTATACAATATTATAATATAATTTCCTGTAAGTATGTCTAACGTACTCCTTGAACTCTTTAGCAAACAGCAAACTAATTTATAAAGTCTATAATCTTTTTGGTGAAAAACTTAACTAATCTCGCAATGAGAGTCGGCGCTCTTCTGTCTCTTTCTTCGGCGACAGCGGCGGAATGGGAAATCGCGATAGGCGACTCTGACAAACATTTATCTATGGCGCATGCAAATTTCCACCCTCAACTTTTCACCCACACACACCGAAAACTTTTGACGCTGCAGCGTCGAAAGGCGAAAAGCGCCAAAAGTATGCCACATAGATAAGCGAACCGCACCGAAACCAGCTAACTGAAATGGGTAAAGTGCGACTGAAGGCGTTGCAAAGGGGGAGGGGATGGGGGCGTGCCGGCAAATGTCATTGTCATTGTTTGCGATACAATTGAAAAGTATAATTAATTAGACAGACGCAGTGCGGGGCACACACACATTCGTACAGAAAGGAAAATTTCACTTTAATCGAATGAACTTATGAGGTCGGGATGGGTAATTGCGGCATTATCAAATCACACTTAATGAAATCACCTAATGAATGGAAAATTTTTGGACAGTAACACAGAACATGTAAGGTGTGAGTGTACTTTCGATATTTTCGATTCTATTTCTTTTGAACATTTTGTAAATATTTTAATTAATTTATTTTATATTTATAATCCAGGAATTAAAAATGATAATAGTTTTGTTCCTAAGTTGATTTTTAAAAATAAATAATAAGGACTTGCCTTTCGGGTGACTAAGAAAACTGTGTAAAAATATAGAAAATAGGTAATTGCTTGCCTTTTCCATACAGATACCTATTTTAAAATGGGTTTAAGCCATTTTCTAACGGGCAGAAAGCAGCAAATTTGTTTCTCCCGGTACACATACTTCTATAAAGGGCACTTCACTAAAGCGGCTTAGTCGCAGACAGAGAAGCCGGAACGAGAAAGGACATGGAGACGGGTGCATGGGGGAAAGGACTCTGTATGCCCTATATGTCCCTCAATCTGCTCAAATCCCGTACCAAATGAACGACCAAAACGCATTGCAGTCACAGACACTGATGGTAAAGAGGGGGGAACAGAGTGAAGCCCACTCAGCATTGTTGCCTGCAGTGTAATTAGCATATTAGACAGTTTCAGTCAAGGGTCCTGGGCACCTGGGTTCGAGGGGGATGCAGGTGCAGTTCCAAAAGGGTCCTCCGCCTCTGCCTCTGCTCCATCTGAAACGAAGGCGTCCAACCTGTCCCAATTCAATGCAATTAACGTAAGGCGCCATGAGCCGGGTCAGAAGGGGGTAGAAGCGTGGTAGGGGAGGAACAATCTCAGCTCCATTCGGTGCTCGGTTCCATCTGTTGATATGACAATTCAGATTTCGCAAATTAGTCTGCATGCGTGTGCCGGGGAGTGCAAATGTTTCACACATACCTGGCCACCAACCATTGGCAATGCAGTTACAATATAGAAATGGAGCCAAGGGTGCCTGCAGAAAACTTTGAGGGGGGATATTATGAAGAAAACTACTATAGATTATAATATACAATTTAAAGGTTCCCAGCTCGATATGTAGAACTTAACATTTCAGTCTTGGTATTTAAAGAAAATAATGTTGAAGAATTCGCGGCTAAAATTTGAAGAAATTGGGACAGAGAAAAACTATTATAGCATTTAACAACAATGTTTAAGTTATTCTCAAGAATTGGCGTGTCAAAATAAAAGTTTTAAAGTTCCTTTTAGTCCATATAATCGGAAGTCCTAAAGTTAACCCCCCTGAGTCTACTCCACTGTCTGTCGTATAATTTATAGCCAAGTCCATTTGGCCCACACACTTGGGAGGAGGAAAGGGGTAAATGCAATTGTGTCGCTGTCCCACTGTCACGTTATCGTCCCAAATTGAATTGTAACCCCCTTCACAGTTGTGGGGTAAAAATCCAACAGATAGGAGGCACCGAGCAAATATAATGCTGGTGTTAAATTTATAGACATTTATGCAAAGTTGCTCCACCACAGGGCAGCAGAGAAATTAAGACAGAACCGAAACAACCGCGCACAATCAGCCGAAAAACAAAGCCAGCAATAAAGGCGAATGAAAACAACGTAGTCAAAGGATATCCAAAATAAAACAATAAAAGCCACAACTATGTGCAGGCAGACAGTGAGATGGGTGGGGAAAAAAGGGGGCGGGGGTCAGAGGATCTGCAGTCGGAGGACAATGTCCAAGCCAGTATAAAGCGAGCAGGATTGCGATGCGCGACACTTGCAGCGAATGTCCTTTTCAAGCGCCACGTTTGTTTCAATAGTCCGAAGGGGTAGTGTCTGCTTTTTCTCTGGTTTTTTCTGTTTCAGAGGGGACAGCACAGGCAAATGTTGCAAAAAGTATGCATTTTATTTCTATTGGGGTCATCAAGCTGAACGCGTCTGGTTATTGCTCGGCTGTCTGGTCAAAGGTCGCCCCATCCCGCGGCAATTCGCTAGATTGCGTTTTGTGTCCCGGCTCTTGTTCTATTCATTTAACTCCCGCCAGCCGATTATGATTGTCTTTTGTTATGACTGTTGTTCAGAGAACAGCATAATTGATGGCAGGACAATGCGAAAAACCGTTTGATAACAGGTAACAGATACTGTTTGTTTTTTTGTTTAGTCTGAAGAGCTAATTTCTGTTTTTGCGTATGAGTTGGACAGCCAAATAAAGGTGGATAAAAGAGTCTTTAATTGGGCATTTAACTTATACGATTTTTTCATTTCGAAATTCTTTGATTAATATTCTGTAAATCCATTAAATATAAGAAATAGCTTTTATAAGCTCTCTGAAGGCTTAGCACTCAAACAAAATGCCTTCATATTCATCACAAATTGCGATTATCTCAATCAAACGAACAAAACTCGTAGGCACAGAAAATAGCCGGAGGTCACAAAATAATCCCCTTCCGACATCAAGGATCAACGATAAAACGCCTGCTCTAATTACACACAATGGGCAATAAATAAAATATTGACAAATCAAGATGTTTTTGTGTCTGCTTGAGGTCACTCCCCTTGGCAAGGAAACCAACAACAAGGAGTCCACTCCGCCCACTCACGGAATAAGTCCTCAAGCCAAATAAAAAGGAGGGGCCAATACGAAAGCCCAACAAAAGGAAAACCCAAATCACTTGATTATGTGGAAAACTTTGCAATCATTAATCTTATGCGCTTATAATAAATGGCCCAAGCACATCTGTATTAATAACTAATAGATGACAGCATAATTGTGATTTACAAGAGCGAAATAAATAAATTTTTATTAGCCCACAAAAGAAGCGTGACTTGAGAAATGGCAGGAAAAGAAAGTTCAAGGAAGTAAAAATAATAAACAATCTATAAATATGAAATTAAAGTATTAATAATACGTGCAATTTCTTTACATTGA